GTCCATTGATATGTTAGTTGAACAGAAAGTTAGAAAGCTGACATGGAGGCCATCAGACCTGCACAGTTTATAAGGTTGGAATGCAAATCTGTATTTACTCTTGCCGGTCTCAGAAAAAGGATGCCCAATCAAATGATTGTCCTTGTCTGGAAGAACAAGTTATAACAATTCCATAGACAAAGATTTTTTCTGGCACTGAAAAGGAAAGAAATTTTTTTGATGTTTATATAGGAAATGTATCATAGATGCAATAGCAGTTTTCTTATGATCATATTTTACAGTATTACTTTGTATAAGCAGAATATGTGAGGCAAAAGCAGTGCTCAGTGAACTTATATTTTTTTCTGTCTCCCAATTATCCTGTCTCCCTTTCCCTCACCTTCCCTCTCCCACTCCCTATGTGTTTGCATGTATGTGTACTTATATGTGTGTGTGCAAGTCAAGTGAAAAAAGGTGTTTCAAAGAGAAAGGAGTGACACATTAGGTCCCATACTGTTGATAATTAAGACTGACAACTTGTCATTGGATATAGCAATTAGAATTTTATTGGTGACCTTGACAAGAACAGTTTCAATGGCGTGGTGTGTGGAAAGCCTATTTGGAGTAGGTTTAAGAGACCATGGCCCACTCATACTTCCTGATTTCAAAACTTACTACACAGCTACAGTAATTAAAACTGTGTATTTGTATAAAGGCAAACATATAGATCAATGAAATAGAATATTTTCTAAAAATTCTTGCTCCAGAGAGCAAAATGATTTTTGACAAGGGTGCCACAAACATTCTATGGTGAATGGGCAAATCTGGAAATCCACATGTAAAAGCACGAAGTTGGACACTTACCTAACACTAGGTACACAAATGAACTCTAAATCGATTAAAAACCTAAACATAAGACCTAAAACTAGGAAACATTTAGAAAAAAATAGGGTAAAAGCTTCATGACATTGGACTTGGCAGTGATTTCTCGGAGGTGATACTAAAGGCACAGGAAACAACAACAAAAATAGACAAATTGGAAATTTTAAAAATGTGTACACCAAATGACACTATCAGCAGAGTTAAAAGGTAACCCACAGATTGGAAGAAAATATTTGCAAATCGTTAATCTGATAAGGGATTACTATCCAGAATATATAGAGAACTCTTGAAATTCAAAACAAACAACACGGTTAAAAAATGGGCAAATGACTTGAATAAACATTTTTCCAAAGAAGACATACAAGTGGCTAATAAGTACATGAAAACATGCTCAACATCAGTAATCTTTAGAAAAGGCAAACCAAAACTACAAAATACCATCTCGCACCCATTAGGATGACTACCATCAAAGAAACAGAAAATAACAAATGTTGAGGTTAAATTCACCTGTACTTGAAGTTGGAGAAAAATTGGAACGCTTGTGCACTGTTAGCAGGAATGGAAAATGGTGCAATTGCTATGGAAAACAGTATGGTTATTCCTCAAAATATTACAAATAGGATTACCATATGGTTCAGCAACTCTTCTGGTTATATACCCAAAAGAATTAAAAAGCAGTGTTTAAAAGAGATATTGCTTCTCTCCTTCATCTGAGAAACTCCAGACTGTACTTAAGACAACAGGAAGAGGACACCCTTTAGAAGGGTGTAGAAGGCTGTTGCCATTGTAGTGTGATATATTTGCAAGAGCTGCTTTGTAGATCAGGGTGGTAATAAGTGTACAATGGTCTGTTCTAGCTCATTGGAAATAAAGTGCTTTCAGTATGCAGAGGAAATTATAAAAGGATTATGTGTCGGAAAAAATTATAACAGAACATTGTTTATTCCTCATCATAGGTGAATTTAACCCATTATAGTTAATGTTATTGGTGTGCTCTTATTTCTGCCTTTATTTTTGCTATTTACCAGACTTTTAAGTGCAACGTTCATCTTTTCTGTGCTTCTGCTCTCTGTTGGATTTATTGTTCTCTCTCTCTCTCTCTCTCTTTTTTAAAGAAACAGGGTCTCACTCTGTCACAGCACAGGTCAGAGTGCAGTGGCGTGATCATAGCAGCTCACTGCAGCCTCAAACTCCTGGACACAAATGATCCTCGCACTTCAGCCTCCTGAGTAGCAGAGACTATAGATGTGTGCCACTGTGCTAATTTTTTATTTTTTGTAGAGCTGGGGTCTCACACTGTTGTCCAGGCTAGTCTTGAGCTCCTGACCTCAAGCAATCCTCCTGCCTCAGCCTTCCAAATTGTTGGGATTACAAGTGTGATCCACTGTACCTGACCACATTTTTGAAAACAAAGTGGTTTTCATCATTCCCCTTTTCAAATTTGGAAGTTACATATTCTACTTCTATGTTTTTCTAGTTAATTTTAATTTTTTTTTTTATATCTTCGCTCATTAAAGCCTAAGCTTTATCCTTTTCCAGAACACAAGGACTCCTAAATGCAGATTTCCAGTTTTTTCATTATAATTTTGGTATTGAGTTTGAAAGATTAGCATATATAAATCAGAAAAAATATACATTTTCATTGGGGGAAAATGCCAATTTGTCAATTATGTATAAATAAAAAATAAAGAGGGTGTTTTTGAGTGATCTTTTTATAGGGTAAAAATAATCTCAAGGTAATGATATACTCTTAGAGATGTGAAAAATCAAGGGATTTCTCACTTAGCTTGTGCCTGGCTATTTCAACTAGAGCATACAAATAGGCTAGGGAGTTCTGGGAATCCAAGATGCATGGGTGGAACTGGGCATACATTTTGGTTTTCTTCTTGCCAAAATCTCATGCAGTCTAAGAGAATGAGGTTAGTGACAGAAAGATAGCAGTGGATAGTTGTCTAGTACTTAAAATACATTTTTATTCTGCTGTATTTCTTCTTCCACCTAAGAAAGGGAGCAAGCACATTTATGAAACCCAGATTACGTAACCCTGATATATTACAATGGAAATTTCCGGGCTCCATCTTATTTCCAATGAGATGGAGCACACTACTGAACACTCTGGCCACCTTGACACAGCTACTCTTTCAAGGGCATCTCACACCATGCTGACAACAGTGGAGCCTTATTCCTCTTCCTGTTACCTGTGAAGTCTGGAGTTTCTCAGCTGAGGGTTATGGGCAGGGGAAGGAGAGATAGAGTGAGAAGCAGTAAGCCAGACAGAATGAGGACTTCATGCAGGCAATGGCAAACTGTTGAGCTGAAAAAAGGCAAGTCCTATGACTATAAATATCAAGATTTTCCTGTGTGGCTGGTAATCTGTTTCTGATGATAACACTAAGAAAAGAAGGTTCTAGTAACTTTTGGAATTACTCCCTACATGAAATTAGCACATAACTTGCTAAAATAACTCAGAAAGACAAGAGTTAACTTAGGTCTGTATATTCCAACACACTCAAAAAAGCACTAACATTCATTTATAGTTATTACTCAACACTACTCTTCCAAAAATGGCTAATGAAAAAACACAATGCAACATAGCTTCAACTGAGCTTACACTTCTAAGCAAAGAGCTTCATTTCTGAATTTAGGTTCAAGCTCAGTTGTATCACCACTCAAGAAGAGGAATAAGTTTTTTGACATTACCAAGGAATCTTGTGGACAGCAAGAAAAACTTTAGCTTAAAGAATGGCTGGTTAATTCTTTTAAGGGAAATATGTCACATTCCTATGTGAAGATGCTAAGCAGAAAACTTTGCTCTTTTCAAACAACTTGATTAATGATGCCTGTGATATTCATATGAAGAATTCCAGGCACCCCTAGGAGCTAAACCTGTATTGATTTCTTAAAAAACAACAAAATTCAGCTGGGTGAGTCTGTAATCTCAGCTTCTCAGAAGGCCAAGGCAGGAGGATCGCCTGAGCCCAGGAGTTTGAAGTTACAGTGAGCTACGATCACACCACTGCAGTCCAGCCTCAGTGACAAGAGTGGGACACTGTCTCTACAAAACAATGAAATTCTCTAAACTCTTTCTCCAAAAGTTGCCAAGTGTCATGACATCATACTTTATTAAAATCAAATACAGGTGATACCCCAGCTATTACCACCTAAGCTATGCTCACATCTTATGTAGATACACGATTAAAAAAGAACAGGAATATTTGAAGTGAAAATGTTTTATTGCAATAGTACTTAAATACTTTTTTTCTTCAACAATGCATACAGTAATAGAGAACACAATTGCCTTTTTCTCCGTAACCAGTATCTTGTTAAATTTTTTGTTCAGGTGTTTACATATATAGGATAACATCTTCCTAAAAATTTTAATAAGAAGTCTTCACTTCTATACTTAACAGACTCACATTCAGTAACTCTGTCATGCCCATTAAAAGTGTCAGCGAATGGATGAAAATATTACTGAAATTCATACTACAATATAAACCACATTCTCTCACTTGATTAAATTATACATATATTATTATTAGGATTGGAAGAAAAAGTAGTGATATTTACTATAGAAATTCTTAATATATATAATTTAATATAACACAAGCATATATTTTATACTCACACGTGCATAATTGTATTAATTATACAAATTAAAAATCAAGAACGGTAAATGTTTTCACTGATTCCTGATTAATTTATGCTTATTTCCAAGTTTTGTGCTGTATTATTTATAGTTCGTTTTTTGTGATTTTTTTTCTATAAAAATTTTATTATCACTTCTAGAGCATGATTGGCATTGATTGTTTTTTTGTTTTGAGACAGGGTCTCACTCTGCTGCCCAGGCTGGAGTGCAGTGGCACGATCCCAGCTCACTGCAGCCTTGACCTCCTGGGTTCAGGCAATCCTTCCACCTCAGCTTTCTGATTAGCTGGGACTACAGGTACAAGCCATCACACCTAGCTAAATTTTTTATTGTTTTGTGGGGACGAGGTCCCGCTTTGTTGCCCAAGCTGGTCTCAAACCTGGGCTCAAGCGATTCTACCACCTTGGCCTCCCAAAATGCTGAGATTACAGGCATGAGTCACCGCACTCGGCTAGCATTGATTTTTATGGGAATCTTACTTTTCCAAATTCATTCAAATTGTGGACTTCTCCTCACCATGAATTCTCCGTGATTTAGTAAGATTTACCTAATATTTAAGGCCTTCTCATATTTATAAAGTGAATATTATGTATGAATTTTCTGATGAACAATAAGATTTGACTTCTGGGAAAATGCTTTCCCACATTTGTTACATTCATAGGGCTTCTCTCCTGTATGAGTTATCTGATGCCGAAGGAGATGAGACTTCTTGATGAAGGCTTTGCCACATTCAATACATCCGTAAGGTTTCTCTCCCGTATGAATTCTTTGATGTGTGACAAGCACAGATGTGTTGCCAAAGGCTTTGCCACATATGATACATCGGTAAGGTTTCTCTCCTGTATGAAATCTAGAATGCTTATAAAGGGATGAACTATACCTGAAGGTTTTCCCACATTCCTTACATTCAAATGAGTTTTCAAGTGTATGGGATTTCACATGTTGATTAAATGAGGAGTTCCAAGTGAATGTTTTCCCACACTGACTGCATTCATAAGGCTTCTCTCCAGTGTGAAGTCTCTGGTGGACCACAAGCTGGGCTTTATGCATAAAAGCTTTCCCACAATCACTGCACACAAAGGGTCTCTCTCCATTATGAATTTTCTGATGAGTTGCAAGGTGTGCCTTCCTGCTATAGGCTTTCCCACAGTCACTGCATTCAAAAAGTTTTTTTCTTGTATGATTTTTTGCATGTCTAGTGAAATGAAACTTCTTTTTGAAGGCTTTCCCACATTCACTGCATTCATAAGCGTTTTCTCCAATATAACTTCTCTCATAATTAAGCAAGTCTAAGTTAGGTTGCAAACTCTTGCCATATGATTTACACGATCTTTTTCTTGTAGGATTAAGACTTGTGCTAGTATTATAACGGTGGGTTCTCTCCATAGTCATTATTTTATTGAACGTGAACAAAACTGACGTCAAAAAATTGTCTTTGCTTTCCTGATGCTTCTCCGGTTCATCAATTAGTGGGCAGTCTGCTTCTAAAAAGGAATACAATAAAACATTACTAGTTATTTTTCCCCCACCAACACTTTACAGAGAAAAACATCCATGATTTCAAACCTAGTCTCTCATTCTGAAACAAATTTGTAATCCCTTTGCTCCCCCTAAGCTTTAAGAATAAAACTGCTAAAGAGGAAATGGGAGCAGATGAATAACGAGAACAGATGGTGTAACTTGTGACCTGTGGAAAGACAGGAAAACAGGCACCAGGTACAGTGAGGAGGGTACAAAGGAGTCAAAAGTTTGTACAAAGGTGTCGGGTTAGTTCACAGAATGAAGAGAGCCCTTCGCGGAGATCTGACTCATGGACAGGGCAAGCAGAGAATAGGAGACAGGGAGTTAAGGGAAAACAGCAGAGAACAGACCAGGTTTGGAAGAGGTAGCAAGAGGCAGAGTCTTCACTACATACTTCCCAGATCAGCCTGGTAGGATATTTCCCTATTTCTCTCATTCATGTCTTTTTCCTTTTAATCACCTGGTACAATGTCACTTTCCTTTAGAAACATTCTTGTATCTCCAGTCCTCTAACTCCATCCAAACCACAGTTGAAGCTTGTCTGTAGAGATGGTTCCGGCTCTACTGACAGCTGGAATTCATTCGAACATGTACTTGTAAGCCCAGGAACACAAATGTCCAGCAAGTCATCCAAGGGCAAGTTATCCTTAGCCTAAGCACAGATTCTGTCTATTTGCTCTTATTTTTTTAAAAATTCTAAGTGGGTTTCTGTATATGATAACTATTTGTCATATTTGTATTTGACAAGTATTTTTTACATCCTCCTTCAATCTGTCTAGCAAACTGGTCTTTAGAAAGTTGCTTTGCTCCTAAAGTCACATTTTTTCATCCCTATCCTCAAAACACTATAAATCCCAAACGTGTTGCTCTATTAAAAAAAAAAATTGGGGGGAGGAGGCTATAATTCCCCACTTTTGAGTTTCCCTCCATGTAGCATGTTAGTATAATACTCCTAGCTACTTGCTCTACGCCTTGTCCTTCCCTGCAGAGTAGTAGGCTATAGCCATCAGTACACATTTCTTTTTCTTTTTATTATCTGAGTCAGTTCTCATTTTGGTGCCCAAGCTGGAGTGCCATGGCATGATTATGTCTCACCAGAGCCACCAACTCCTGGGTCCAAGCAATCCTTCCTCCTTAGCCTCCTGAGTAGCTGGGGCTACAGGTGCATACCACCATGCCCACTAATATTTGTTTATTTTTTGTAGAGGCAAGGCCTTAGTATGTTGCCCAGGCTGGTCTTGAACTCCTGGGCTCAAGTAAGCCTCCCACCTCAGCCTCCCAAAGTGTTGGGATTACAGGCGTGAGCTACCATGCCCGGCCTGTACATATTTCTTTACAGTGTGGTTCTGTCTATGGGAATTTGCTTCCTTCTTTACCTCTACCAACAATAATCGACTAAAAAATTCAGGTAAACAGACTGGTAAACAAAATTATGCAAGATGTGAATTCAATCATAGGATCTCAGCATGCATTCCACCAGTCTTCACCAAATCCTTCTACTCCGTGGATTCTAAACTCATAAATTCGATCTTTTGCTCATGTTCCTTCCCCACCTTAACTTGCCCTCCCTCACTGCCTCCATCCTATCTAGTACTTAGATATTCTTTAGGGAGAAGCCACTGTTTGATGACCTCAATACAAAGAATTCTCTAACTTCTGCATACCTTAAACTTTAAGCTCCATTTTCTTTGAATTTTTAAGATAGTCACTACAGCTGTCTGTACCATTCACTTTGACAATTAACTGGACCAAAACTGCACTACTAATATGCATTGATAAATGTTTATTTCATACTCCCTTGTCAAATTTTAAAATCTTTTAATATGACTATGTTTTGTTGTTCCAGTCACCATTTTCAACACTTAGAAAATGATAAAGGGACCCTGAATTGTACCCCACATATTCAAAATAAATAAATAAAAATAAAAATAAAATGATAATGGGTTTTTTGATTCCTTTGAAGCTTCTCAGGAAATACTTTTAAAAGCCTTGTTGAATGGAAGAGTAAGAAATGTCTCCAACATTGCAATGACAAGGATACTGGAATTAAAAAAAAAGAAACATACTCCCACAATGTCTGGTTCTATAATAATGAATTAATGAAATGTTCATTGAATGTCATTATGTACTCAGTACTGGAATAAAAGAAAAAATCATATAGATCTGCTCTTCAGGGCACTATCATGAAAAAAACAAGCCTTTATAGCAAGGGTTTAAAAAAAATCCAAGACAGTAGATGTCAAGTTTTCATGATACAGTCATAGTAGAATTGCTTGGGAGTTAAAGAAGACAGAGATTAATTCAGAATAGTTACCTTGAAAGAAGAAACACTGAACTCTGACTTAATAGCATGCTGGTTTTAGTTAGGTGGTGCAGACCAGAATCAAAAAGATTGATGCAAAGAGGAAAACTGTATATAGTGGACATTAAAGAGTTCAAGTCCCATGGAATAGGGAGAAGATAGATAATTCTGGATAAGCAAAATGAGAACACGTTATAGGGTACATTAAAAACCAAATAAATATCACAATATAGGTTATAAAGGAGCAGAATATACTTGTCAGAAGAGTGACAAAAAAATTGAGTAATTTGGATAAATCTTGGAGAAACATCTAAAATAAACTAGAAAACAGAAAGGAATTGGTAAAATAGTAATATTAACAGTCCAGATAAGGTACCAGAAAGTAAAATTCCGCTAGCTACTCAGAAGGCTGAGGCAGGAGGATCACTTGAGCCCAGGAGTTCAAGACTGCAGTGAGCCATGATCACACCACTGTACTTCAGCCTGGGTGACAGAGTGAGACCCCGTCTCTAAAAAAAAATTCATTGGCCAGGTGTGGTGGCTCAAGCCTGTAATCCCACTACTTTAGGAGGCTGAGGTAAGAGGAATGCCTAAGCCCACAGGTTTGAGAACAGCCTTGGGCAACTTGGCAAGACCTCATCTCTACAATAAATCAAAAAATTAGCCAGGCGTGAGAGCGCACACCTGTAGTTGTGGCTACTTAGAAGGCTGAGGAGCAAGGATCGCCTGAGCCCAGCAGGTTGACGCTGGGGTGGCTGTGAGCGTGCTATTACACTCCAGCCTGGGTGACGGAGTGAGACTCTAACTTAAAAAATAATTTAGTTTATTTCAGCAGAAGTTGGAGTCACAGGAATCTTAAATACACTCAATTGGTACCAATCATTTGAAACATACTACTTTTATGATCTCTGAAGAAAAGAAAAATTTTATTTTGAATCAGTCTTGCATAAACTAACAGCTAAAATCACAAGCCATAAGAAAAGGATAAAGTTTTTTTTTTTAAAGGACAATAATGAGAGCACAATGTTCCTGAAAGTTTTGGGGCAAAAAATTAATATATCCTGAACATAAATTATCTGTAAACTATTTGAAGGGTTTTGCACATATTAGCTCATATAATCTTTATAGGAAATGTGAGGTAAGGATCAGTATTATTCCTATATTATAAAGAAAATAGTGCTACAAAATAATTTGCCCAAGGTTAGCCAGTGATTGGTAAAGTAATGCTTCCAGTCCACACAATCTGACTACATTATTAGGACGAACTATATAAAAAAAGATCTATGTTGAGAAAGGAAGAAGAGAAGAAAAATGAGGGTTTTAGGAATTAAGAGAGCAGAAACAAAGCAAGAACTCAGATGCAACAGGCGATGCCGGAGCCTGGATAGAAAGGAGAGGGACATCCCCCCAACAGCAGCTGAGTGACAAGAATAAGCACCTATGTGGGGAGAGTGAGTGTGAAGGCGTGTTGCAGAGCTGACGATGTTATGCCAGGTGTACCCAGCCACCAACAAAGGAGTGGCTTTTAAAAGGTGCCTCCAAGAAGCATTTCGAAAGGTGTCTGTCCCTCACTGACTAACTGAGATCCCAACTCCTAACACTGCCATCCGATTTCCTCTCACTTACCTGGATGGCTCCAATGTGGGTTTTCTTCCTCCACCAGCCATGGCTTTTGTCCTTGCTCCACCTTTAAGGTCACTTCTGTCTTGGCAACTGGACTTCCTGTTGGTGGGAATAAAACAAAGAAGTGGGATGGAGTGCTAGGAAGACAACTGCCTCACAACTCGGGTCAGCCTCCTTGAATCTCAGGACCTTTAAAGGATGACAAGTAGGCTTTAGAACAGAATAGTCTCTTCTCCATTTGAGAAGTGGAAGCATAAAAAAAATAAAATCCCTCTGAAAGGGATTAAGAATCTCTGACCACTAAAATCTGAAGCTTATTAATGCTTCAGAATGCTGTGACGCTTTCACAAATCTTAAAGGAAGGGTATTAGCATATTCCAAGTTACCACCACGGTCTTACCCACTGAGACAAGGTTTCTATAGTTCTCCAACATCACATCCCAATACAGGGTTCTCTCAGCACCACCAAGCAGCTGCCACTCCTCTGGGGTGAAGTCCACAGCCACATCCTGGAATGTCACTGATTCCTGTAATAGCACATTCATCTTCAAACTGAAGTGTGCATCATTAGGAGACCTGCAAAAGAATCAAGGTGGCCCCTTATTATCATAGAATGTTCATTTCTGAGCTTGTAGAAAGTTAACTATTACAAACCTGATTAAGAAATATGCTTTGTAATGGCAACAAAAATCATATTAAAAATGCCCAACTAGTGCCAGAACAGTTCAATGGGGGAAAGAAAAGTCTTTTCAATGAATGGTGTGGAGGCAAATGAATACCCACACACAAAAGAATGAAACTGGACTCCCTACCTACCTCACTCCATATACAGAAAGGAACTAAAATGGATCAGAGGCCTAAATGTAGGAAATAAAGCTATCAAACTATTAGAAGATGATATAGGAGAAAAATATTTTTGACCTTGGATTAGGTGGTGGTTTCTTAAATATGATATGAAAAGTGAAAGTGACAAAAGAAAAAATAAATTTGAATTCACCAAAATTAAAAACTTTCATGCTTCATAGGACCATTGAGAAAGTGAAAAGAACACCCACAGAATAGAAGAAATATAGTTTTAAGTCATATATCTGATAAGAGGTTTGTATCTAGAATACATAGATAACTTAAAATCAACAACAAAAAGACAACCTGATTTAAAAATGGGCAGAGGATTTAAACAGATATTCTAAAAAAAAAGTATATATATATATACTTTTGAATTTTAAGTTGAAACATAGTCACACCTATTCATTTATTCCACCTGCAAGGCTGAGTTAGTTGCCACAGAGGCAGTTTATAGTCTTCAAATCTAAAATAGACAGTTCTATATTGTCACTTTCACTTTTCATATCAGGAAAAGATATTCAACATCATTAGTCATTAGTGGAATGCAAATCAAAACTGTAATGTGATACCACTTCATACCCATGAGGACAGTTAAAATCTAAGGCAAACAATGACAAGAGTTGGTGAGGATGTGGAGAAACTGGAACTCTTGTACATGGCTGGTGGAAGTGCAGAATGGTGAGAGAACTGTGGAAAATATTTCGGCAGTTCCTCAAAATGTCAAACATAGAATTACCACATGACCTAGCAATTCCACTCCTAGGTATATACCCAAGAGAATTCAAAACATATATCCACATAAGAAGCCATGGACAAATATTCTTAGCAGAATTATTCATAGAAGTCAAAAAAGTAGAAATAATCTAGCATCCATGAACTGACAAATGGATAAAGAAAATGTGGTATACCAGCCAGGTGTGGTGGCTGAAGCCTGTAATCTCAGCACTTTGGGAGACTGAGGCAGGAGAACCACTTTAGGCCAGGAGTTCATGATCAGCCTGGACAACAGAGTGAGATCCAGTCTTTATTAAAAAATGATAAAAAATAAACAAAATAAAAATAAAATGTGGTATATTCATCCATAGAATATAACTTGGCAATAAAAAAGGAATAAAGTACTGCTACATCTAAAACATGGATGAACCTTGAAAATATTATACTGGGTGAAAGAAACCAGTCACAAAAGATTATATGTTGCATGGCTCCGTTTGTATGAAATGTTCAGAATAAAAGAGTTATAGAAACAAAAGGAAGGTTAAGGGTGGGAGAAGGGAAGAATGGAGAGTGACTGCTAATGGGCATGGAGTTTCTTTTTGGGGTGATGAACATGTTCTGAAACTAGTGTTGATAGCTATATAACTCTGAATATATTAAAAACCACTGAATTGTATACACTTTAATTGAGTCATTTTTGTGGTATGTGAATTGTGTTTCAATAAAGCTAGTTAAAAATATCACATATATTCTTGCCAGGTGTAGTGGCTCATGCCTGTAATCCCAGCACTTTGGGAGGTGGAGGCGAGAGAATTGCGTGAGCCCAGGGAGTTGAGACCAGCCTGGACAAAATGGCAAGACCTCATCTCTACAATAAATAAAAAATACACAAATATAGCCAAGCATGGTGGTACGTACCTGTAGTTCCAGCTACTTGGAAGGCCGAGGCGGAAGGATTGCCTGAGCCCAGCAGGTCAAGGCTGTGGTAGCCATAAGCGTGCCACTATACTCCAGCCTGAACGACAAAGCAAGACTTTGACTCAAAATAAAAATTAAAAAGTTTTTTAAAATCACATATATTCTTTATATGTGATATACTAGTAATATCAAAAGGAATACAATTATTAATCCCTCCCAGAGATCGTACAATCTATTAGATTACAAAGTAAAAATAAGTGCAATAAGATGTTACTTAAACTGTAAGGTTTACATGTCAGACTCATATAAGCAAAATAAAATAGAAACACATGGATTTTTTTTTACATAATAAAATACATTCTTTCAATTATGAAGTCAACATCATGTTTAATGTATAAATATCAAAAACACTGTAGGCATGTGGCTACATATCTACCACAAAAGACATAGTTAAGAGCATGCAGAGTAAGGATCAGAAAAGTACAACCCATGGAATGGCCTCCTATTTTTGTAAATAAAATGTTATTGAAACATCACACTTATTCATTTACCCCAGCTGCAAGGTTGAAGTAGTTGTCACAGAGGCAGTTTATAGTCTTTAAATCTAAAATAGATAGTTCTATACTGGGAAATGTATTAAAAATTGCCTAAACTGGTTTGTTAAAGAGAGTAAAATACATAATTAATTGACAGATATAAGAAAAAGGTAGGAGGAAAAAAGTTCCCAACTTAGGAAAATAATCTCCACAAGCTAAACATTCCTTAACTTGATTAAAAACAAAAAACCCAAAACAAAAAAACAACTACCTACCAGAATATAGGAAGAAATGGTGAAACATTGGAAGTGTTCCCATTAAAATTAGGACAAAAAAGACTGCTGGCTAGCAATTACAGATGACATGAAATGTGAACATGCCTGGCTGGTATACCACATTTTCATGTTCACATTTTCGAACAACCTGGGTTTGAACTGCTCAAGTCTACTTATACTCAAATTTTTTTTAAGTAACTACAGTTGGCCCTCTTTGGCAGGTTCTGTATCTGCAACCAAATGCAGATCAAAAATACAGAGTTCTCACAATGCAAAACCCACATATATGGAGGGCCAACTTTTCCTATCATTGGGTTCCACAGGGTAGATTTGGTTATCTGCAGAGGTCCTGGAACCAATCCCCCATGAATACAAGGGATAACTGTATATTCAAAATCGTAGTTACTAGAAGTCCTGGCCATTGCAATAAGACAAGAAAAACATGGGGGATGATATATTAAACAGGAAGGGACAAAACTCCATTTGAAAAGTATGTAACTGTCTACCTAGGATATCTAACTCTTGGACATAATAAGAGTTCTGTAAGTTGGCTGGATACAAAGTCAATACAGAGAAGTCCATTCTTTTCTATACATCAAAATAGTCAATTAGAAAATATAATGAAAAAAGAACATTACCTGAGCCCACGGGTTTGAGACCCGCCTGGGCAACTTGGCGAGACCTCATCTCTACAATAAATAAAAAATCAGCCGGGTGTGGTAGCACACGCCTGTAGTTCCAGCTACTTGGAAGGCTGAGGCGGAAGGATCGCCAGAGCCCAGCAGGTTGAGGCTGCAGTGGCAGGGAGCGGCCACTGCACTCCAGTCTGGGTGACAGAGTGAGACTCCAACTCAAAAAAAAAAAAAAAAAAAAAAAAGAAAGAAAAAAGATCTATCTCATTCTCAATAGCAACTTAAACCATATGAGGGGTGACTCAAAACAATCCGGAATTATATTTTGGAGGGTGGGCCTCTTGTAGTACATTCAGAATTTGTTCCTCCAAATCAAATGGTCAACCAAAGTTTTTTATCTGGAAGCTCCAAGAAGGTTGTGTCACAATTTGTAGACAAAACATCCTGAGTTATGGCAAACAGGTGATTGGTTCTTCCACCATGACAATGCACTGCTTACACTACACTGAGTGTTCAGCAGTTTTTGATCAAAATTAGCATGACTCCTGTGCTGCATCCTCCCTATTTGCCCGATCTTGCCCTGAGTGACTTTTTTTGTTTCCCCAAATGAAAAAAGTCCTCAAAGAGAAATGTTTTGCCGATGTGGAAGAAATGAAACAAAAAAACAGCAGAAGCACCAAAGGCATCAAAATCAACTAGTTCAAAAACTGTTAGAAGCAGTAGAAAAAGCATTTCAATAGGTATAGTGCATTAAACAGAAAGTACTTTAAAAGCGACTGAAGTTTAAACATGTAAGAATAAATACACAATTTTTTTATAGATTCCAAGTTTTTTTGGGTTCCATCTCATATGTAAGAATATTATAAATATATTTATATACACTATAAAAAGAAATGTACAAGAGTTATACCATAAGACTATAATGGACCTATGAGGAAAACTGAATATATAGGACTTATGATTGAAGAGTTATGAATTCTCCCCAAATTAATCTAGAAGTTTAAGGTAATTACAATAAAAATACCTCCCACACTGCTTTATGGATCTTGATAATATTCCTTAAATTCAACGACCTTAAAATGTATGTAGAAGAGAAAATGCTCAAGATAGCTAAAGACTCTGGAAAACATACAAGGTTTACTTATGAATCCAGGTGAGCATTAAAAAGGGTTATGTACCTTGGCTTATAAACTGAGTTAATTTAGTGTTAGTTGGCATTATGTTCTCTGCTTACTTTAGGGAATACTCTTAAGAAAATCATAGGAAACTTGAAGTTATATTTATCAAAGAGTGTTGTTGTGAATGTTATTTCTAACATCTATATAAAAACCCATTAGAAAATATTTTCTTCAGAGAAATGTATCAGGAAAAAATTTTATCTGGGGAATTATTGAGCTTTATCCTCACGGATAATGCCAATACTTTAAAACTCACTGGCTATCCATAAACTATGATTACCAGGAAGACTGAGTAAACATTTGCAGCTCAAATTTATTCCAGCTATACTTCTGCTGAAAAATTGAGGGAGAAAATAATTAAAATTTATATTTAAAAAATTTTTATTTCAACTATGTGCAAACCTTATGACTTGGATATCAGATTATCAATCTTCTAAATTTCTCTTTGGACCTGATCTTCTATTCAATTTTCATTTTCCCTGACTATACATTTTCTTGTTAGCGTATAGGTTTTTGGGAGATTTAAATGGCTGAATGAATACATGGATGACTTACCTGGAAGTTGACCATTTTCTGTAGCTCTTAAACGGAAAGCTGCTAGGTGTGGTGCCTCATGCCTGTAATTCCAGCACTTTGGGAGGTGGAGATGAGAGGATTGCCTGAGCCCAGGGGTTCGAGACCAGCTTGGGCAACTTGGCGAGACCTCGGATCTACAATAAGTACAAATAAATAAATAAATAAGTAAATATTAGACAGGCATTATGGCGCTTGTGCATCTGTAGTTCCAGCTACTTAGAAGGCTGAGGCGGAAGGATTGCCTGAGTCCAGCAGGTCCAGGCTCAGTGGCTGTGAGCATGCCACTGCGCCCCAGCCTGGGAGACAGAGTGAGACTCCAACTCAAACAAACAAACCTGCAAACAGAAATCTATGAAAGTAGAAATGCGGACGAAAATAAAGACCTGAGACACCAGGACTGCAATGTGTTAAAACCCTGGCTCTAGGCCGGGATGGGTGACAGCCTGTAATCCCAGCACTTTGGGAGGCTGAGGCAAGTGGATTGCCTGAGCCCATGGGTTCGAGACCAGACCAGACAACTTGGTGAGCCCTGGTCTTTAAAATTAGTCAAAAATTAGCTGGACATGGTAGCACACGCCTGTAGTTCCGGCTACTTGGAAGGCTGAGGCAGAAGGATCGTCAGAGCCCATCAAGTCGATGCTGGGGTGGCTGTGAGTGTGCTACTGCATTCAAGCCTGGGCGACAGAGGCTCCAGCTCAGAAAAAAAAAAAAAAAAAAGAACCCTGGTTCTATCAGACAGTTCCTACCCTGAAGCCTCAGTAGCCACCTAGTGGGAGAATGGTACTTCTAGCAAGTCAGAAAAATTAATATGTGATTCTCTGGTTTCTGCTCTGAAGCTGGATATGAGATCTCAAATTAGGTTGGGCTTTCTTGTGATGGTTGGATTTAGGGACTCTGGGAACACTTGGGTTTTAGTTTTGTTTTAAAGCTGGATCCTTCAGTTTAGACTCCAAATCTGTTTTTCTTTCTCTGGGAACTCATAGTCTCCCATGAGCTTAGTCTGAGTTTTTTGAGGTTTTAACCACTGCTGGGGCTCTAGAAAGGCTAAATGGGTAAGAGGGACTCACAACTTCATTTACAGTCTTCACTGGAAGATCTGCAAATACACAGAGACCCTAACAAATGACCACAAATCTAAATTTATTCATCATTCATTGCTCAAATATTGCAAAAGGAGAATAAAACCAACTCTGTTTTATGCAGGTGTGCAATACTGTTTAAAAAAAAATTTTTTTTGGAGAAAACGTATCTAGGCATGAATCTCAGCTCTTCCGCTTACTAAACTGTGTGAGTCCAGACTTGTAATTTCACCTTTTTCAGCTTCAGCTAATTCATATGCAAAACGGTTACTTTGCATTCACTTCAAATGACTGTTGTGAGGAAAGCCTAAGAATGCACAACCGTTTCTCTAAAATTCTGTCTTTCTGGATTCCTTGAAATGGCTTACAACTTTCTGTAGCAGTCTCCGGTCCGGCCAGCTAATGCTCTTGGAACCAGGGAAGGTACAGTTAGGTGCACAGACGCCTACACAGTGACCTTTACCTACAAGGACAGAAATGCAAATTGAGCCTCTCTCAGTCCCACCACAGCTCTGGGAATCTATCCAGTGCCAGCCGGAGTCCTATTCTTGCTGTCTCTCACCTACTCCAGAGTTAAACAGGACCCACATAGCCAAGCCTGGAGTCACCGCAGTTGGAGGGTCTAAAGTTTTATCTCCGGTCGGGTAGATCCACAAGCCGGTCCCCGCCTTTCCCTTACGTCCCCCGAGTCCGGCAAAGCCCACCTGCCACTCTGTCACTGCCTCGCTCTCAGCTCCGGCTCTAAGCCTGGGATCGGGTTACAGCATCGTCCAGAGACTGGGGACAGCCCTCGCCCTCAATTCACGCGGCGCAGGTCTGAAGATTGCAGGATACCGGCTCGCGTCCTACTGCGCGTGTGCGGAAGTAACTGCCCACCTAGTCTGTCCGGGCTCCTCCGGGGTGTAGCCCGCCCATCCGAGACCACATTTCCCATAAGGCCTTTGGCGCGCGGTTCCGGAAGGCGTCAGACGCTTCTTCCTCTTCCCCGAGAGATGCTTGGGCACGTAGCTCTATGGCTGGCCTGGTAGTCGCGATCATATTTACGTTATTTTCATTTAAAAAGAGACACTAGAATTTTTAAATACTGGAAAGCCAAATTCAGCAGTACGCTAAAATAATAACTTACCCTTACTCCGTAGGTTTTCTTGTAACAATGCACCCGCTTAAGTCAGGGAAATGAAGAGGACCCGACAAAGACTGAGAAGGAACAGTCGGTGAGGCAGATGGAAAAGTAGAACATTTTGGCAGTGCAAAACCAAGGGGAGAAAATGTTTCAAGGTGGAGGGAGTAATCAATCCACTGTGTCAGACGCTGCTGATAGGTCAAGTCAGATGAAAACTAAGCATTTAGCAATATTTAGGTCACTAGTGGTGTTGAAACTTGTCATTTTGGTGGAGTGGTGGAAGTTTGACGGTGTGATGGGAGTTTGGTAAGAGGTGGAGGAAAGAATGGGAGTAGAGGAAGTGGAGAAAGCAAATGTAGACAAAACTTTTAAGAAGTTTTGTTTTTAAGATAAGCAGAAAAAGTATCATTGGTTAGTGATTTTGGGTCTAGAAAAATAATTTTTTTAATTTAAAGGTGGAAGAACTTATACTAAGTTTGTATGCTAATTTAAGTGATCCAATAGAGGGGAAATTAGTTCAGGAGAGACAGCCTAGTTACAGGAGGAAAGTCCTTCAGGAGAGAAGTATTGGAACCCAGTACAGAATCAGAGGAATAAGTTCTAAGTAAGAATGTGGACAATTCATCCATTGCAATAAAAGGGGAGGCAGAGATAATAAATACAAATAGGAAGACAGATATCGTAGTTAGAAGAAAGAGGATGCCCTCTTTTGTGTGCTTCTATTTTCTTATTGAAATAGAATGCTGAAAGTGAAGATAGAAAGTGTTGGAATTTGAGGAGAAAAAAGATAAATATGGCATTATGTTGACTCTGATACACACTTTTTCATATTTCAATATGTGTGAAATTGCTGTCTTGCAAGTGATGGCATGCCACAGCTTAATCTCAGCATTGTTTATCTTATGATACATGTTATCCTCAGTGGCATTTGAGATTCTGTAAAATGTTAGTTATTTAGGAATGTGGGAGAGTGAATGGATTAAGGAAATGTTGCCTGGCACCATTAAGAGCCCACTTGATATTAGTAGCCATTGACTTTACTGGCATTTTCAATGCCGTAGATATTTTTTTCTGTTTCTGTTCCTCTGGTCACATAGACATGTTTTTTTTTTTTTGAGTTGGAGTCTCACTCTGTCACCCAGACTGCAGTTGCAGTGGCCGCTTCCAGCCACCACAGCCTTGACCTGCTGGGATCCGGCAATCCTTCCGCCTCCAGACATGTTTTTTATATCTCTCTTTTTTAATAGAAGGGGCATACATTAAAGTCATGGATGGTAGAATAAGGTTAATTACATCTTAATATCTAAAGCATTGTGGGCCAGATTACTCATAAATTCTTTGATCAGAAACTGTGTGTTTTGTGCAACTCAAAAATTAGGCATTTAGCCAGACACAGTGCTCATGCCTACAATCCCAGCACTTTAGAAGGCTGAGGCGAGAGGGACAGCCTGAGTCCAGGAGTTAAGACCAGCTTGGGCAACATGGTGAACCTTTGTCTCCACAATAAATCAAAAAATTAACCAGGCATATTTAATAACCAGGTGGTGTGTACCTATAGTTCCAGCTACTTGGAGGACTGAGGTGGAAGGATTGCCTGAGCCCAGCAGGTGGAGGCTGTGGTAGCCATGATCATGCTATTGCACTGCAGCCTGGGCTCTGACTCAAAAAAAAAAAAAAAAAAAATTAGGCATTTTAATTAAAAAAATGTGTTATGGTAATTTTAAACCATATACAATATAGTAGAAAGAATAGTAATGAACCTCCAAGTACCCATCATCCAACATCAGTAATTATCAGAACATATCATTTCATCAGTAAAAGACTTTAAAAAAAACGTAATATTATTGTCACACCAAAAAAATTAAAAATAATTTCTTAACATCATAACATATTGGGTCATTATTCAAATTACTAGTTAATGCAATTTCTTTTACAGTTTTAAAAAACTAGAAGCCAAGGCCAGGCACAGTGGCTCATGCCTGTAATCCCAGTATTTTGGGAAACTAAGACGGGAGGATCACTTGAGGCCAAGAATTCAAGGTTGCAGTAAGCTATGATAACACCACTGTACCCCAACCTGTGCAATAGAGAGAGATTGTCTCTGTAAATAACCAACTAAAGTCCACATGTTACAATTGGTTGATACGCCTTTTAAATATTTTTAAATCTATAGTTCCCACCCCCCGCCCAACCACTTTATTGTTTTACAAATTTTTTTTTTTGAGTCAGGATTTCTGTCTGTCACCCAGGCTGGAGTGCAGTGGCATGATCACAGCTCATGGCAGCTTCAGCCTCCTGGGCTTGGGCGATCCTTCCACCTCAGCCACCAGAGTAGCTGGGTCTATAGGCATGTGTCACTATGCCTGGTTCATTTTTTTAATTTTTTGTAGAGACGAGGTCTCCCTATGTTGCCTAGACTGGTCTTGAACACCTGGGATCAAGCGGTTCTCCCACCTTGGCCCCTCAAAGTGTTGCGATTACAGGCATAAGCCACTGTGCACAGCATTTTTTAAAACAAATTATTGATTAAAGAAACCAGATCAAGGCCGGGTGCAGTGGCTCATGCCTATAATCCTAGCACTTTGGGAGGCCAAGGTGAGAGGATTGCCTGAGCCCACGGTTCAAGACCAGCCTGGGCAATTTGGTGAGACCTCATCTCTACAATAAATCAAAAAATTAGCTGGGCATGGTGTGTGCCTGTAGTTCCAGCTACTTGGAAGGCTGAGGTGGAAGGATCACCTGAACCCAGCAGGTCGAAGCTGCATTGGCTGGGAGCGTGCCACTACACTCCAGTCTGGGCAACAGAGTGAGACTCCAACTCAAAAAAAAAGATCATTTGTTCAGTGGAATTTCTCACAGTCTGGTTTTTTTTTTGTTTTTTGTTTTTGTCTCTTGTGTTCCCACAGTATAGTGTAACATGTCTTATATTTTTGAAACTGGTAGTTGGAATGAGAAGCTTGATGAGATTCAATTTACATTTGAATGAATTCAATTTATGTTACTTCAAGAGTACAGTGTGCTCTTCCTTTGTCCATCAGGAGATCCATATTGTTGGGTTGTCTATCTTTTTGTTATGTTAGTAATTCTCCTCAAAGCCCTAGACCCGTTACTTCTGTAGAGGTTGTAGAAACGAAACACTCTAATTCTATCATTTCTTTGTTATTTAGCAACTGAATTAGGTCTCTGAAGAAGAGCATCTCTATTTCTATCATTTGTGAGGGATTTGTGAGCATCATTTTGAACTCATATATTTAAACATATTTGATGTGCTTCAATCTATTGCTGCTAATATCCCTATTGATGCTCAAATTGTCACATCTTTAAGTTGGCAATTGAGTCCTTTTGGAAAGACCTTAATAGTCTTCAATGGTTTCCTCACTATCTATATCAGGGGTCCCCAATCCCTGGACCACAGAACCCGTACATGCTAGGAACTCGACCGCACAGCAGGAGGTGAGCGGCAGGTGAGCCAGCAAAGCTTCATCTGTATTTACAACCACTCCCCATCGCTCACATTACCACTTGAGCTCTGCCTCCTGTCAGATCAGCACTGAAAAGCCTGCTTCCATTTCCAATGTCCTGTCTTTGTGAAGCAGGGTTTTCTGCAGTGACAGCAACCAACACAAGATTATGGAGTAGGCTGGACATAAGCAACATACTTTGGATGTTACTGTCTCCCGTTACTCCCAGATGGGACCATGTGGTTGCAGGAAAACAAGCTCAGGGCTACCACCGATTCTACATTATGGTGAGTTGTGTAATTATTTCATTATATATTACAATATAATAATAATAGAAATAAAGTGCACAATATATGTAATGTGTTTGAATCATCCTGAAATCATCCCCCCAACTCCCACCTCCAGTCAGTGGAAAAACTGTCTTCCACAAAACTGGTCCCTGATGCCAAAAAAGGTTGGGGACCACTGATCTATATGATAAGGTGCTTCAGGTTTCTGTTGTTCATTTCCTGCCCCAGATTTTGAATCACCCATTTCTCCAAGATGCCTGGCTCCTTTTAATGGGAGATGGTGTTTCAAGACTTTGATCAGGCTTCTGGAGGTGTTCACCGTTCTTGAGTCGACTAGACATTGACTTTGATGTTTTGAATTTCTCAAACATACTAATTGCTAACAATAGTATGCTTGAGAACATATTTGATCCAGAGGTAGGTTTGCCTTGGTTTTAATCACTGGTCTAGCACTTACTGGGTATGTGACATTGGGCTAGTTTATCAATGTATCTGTGCCTCAGTTTCCTCAATTGTAAAATGAGAATTATAACAGTACACAAATTCAGAGGGTCCTGGTGAGGTTTTATTAAATATGTACATAATAACTGTACATATTTATGGGGTACATAGTGATGTTTTGATACATGTAACGTATAGTGTTAAGATCAGGGTAATTAGCATGTCCATTATATCAAACATCATTTCTTTGTATTGGGAACATGCAGTACTCTCCTTCTAGTTATTTGAAACTATATATTATTGTTAATTGTAATCATCCTACAGTGGTGTAGAACATGAGGATTTATTCCTCCTTTCTACCTGTAATTTTGTATCCTTTAAAAAATTTCTCCCTAACTCTGCCTTCCACAAACTCTTCCCAGCCTCTAGTGTCCTCTGTCCTACTTTTTATTTCTTTGAGATCAACTTTTTAAAGCTTCCACATGTGTTGTTTGACTTTCTTCTCCTACTTATTTCATTTAACATAGTGTCATCTAGTTCCATCCATGTTGCTGCAAATGACTGGATTTTATTCTTTTTTGTCCTTCGGTTTTTCAGTCTGTCACTCAGGCTGGAGTGC